TGTGGCCAGCAATGTAAAAAGGTAATTATTTTCACACCCATCCTTCTGTATAGTTTTTCACAGACAGCAATTTTATAAGGCATAATTATCTATTTTCACCTGCTTCATAAATTCCTCCTTTCCATTTCGTCCCCCAGTAAACTAGAAATTATTTAAAACAGAAGCCAAGCCCTGCATCGTGGTGCTGGGTTTCACATTGCTGTGCACCTCTGAGTGCGTTCCTGGCTGCCCCTCTGCCCAGCTGACCCCACCATGTCTCCCTTGCCATCTGGTCCTCCTGTGGAAGGAAGTATGTCTCAGTGTGAGGAGCTGCTAGGCCTCTGCTGCCTGGGAACAGAAAGCCAGTATTGTGAGCCATTGCTCTTGCCCAGCTTCTTGGCACCTCTCATCCAGGAGGAGCGAGCTCGCCAGCTTCTCAAAAGCTCTTCCTGTGCCTCCTTCCTTCTCCCACCACACACCAGGTCGCAGGGTAGGGCAGTCACCTTCTCATTTGTTTTCAGCAGGATCTTTAGGCCAAGATGACTGTGTGGTTTGGGACCATACCATGGATTCTGCTGTGATGCTCAGTGATGGCGTCAAGCCTGGGCTCCCCCTACAACATCACTTTTATTTTCAGATATCCAACATCCTCTCATGCTGGAAGCTTCAATATCTGCTGCAATCTTCACACTTTCCAGGGATGTAACCAAAGCAAGTTCTAACATCAATTGAGAGTTTACTATGAACCAGGCACTGTGCCAAGGACTCTACAATACTATTTGGCTGAATCCTCATAATAACTCAGAAAAGCATACATTATTATGAAGTTGTGAGAATAAAATGACAGAATGTAAGAAAGCTAAGAATTTAGACCAAAGTCACAGAGAAGGCAAGAGACAGAATCAAGCTTCAAACTTTTGTCTCTGAAGTGCCAAAGCCCATCTTCTACCCACTACATGAAATCAAAGATTCTACGAGCTTTCCCAGAACCCACTCAAGACTGAGGCAGTTTGGGGATGCCAGAACTCACCAGGGAAACTGCGGGCCTCTGGGCAGTGCCTCAGTAAGCAGTACAGGGAGGAAGGCAGCAGTTTTTTCAGCGGAAGCACACCAAGCCCAAAGCTCAGAGCTGGTTCCTCAGTTCATAACCTTAGTAACCCCTCCCTGCTGGTGGGGCTGCACCATCCCCTTGTCCCCTCCCATTGTCTTTTCATATGACCCCTCCCCTTACTGTCAGCAGCCCTTCAGTAACTCCTCACTGAAGGTGATCCCCACTGTTCAGGTAGTCTGTCTTTATTCAGGGAGTTTCATGAGCAGGGAGTGGTGGAGTCACTTGTCACCTGCCTCTAGCTATCCCCCAAGCTCCCACCTCATTCCATACATGGCCTAGGTTTGAGGGAAGAGGCATCCTCTTGGATATGAGCAAGTACTGGGAAGAACTAGAGCTGCAGGCCTGGGTAGAGGTGAAGGGAGGAGAGAGAAGAAGGAAGAAGGGAGCTAGTCATCCAGAGACCAGCAGCGGTGATGTGACTGCAGACTCAAAACACAGAGCTCTCTAAGCCACCCTTCTCTGACGTCATCTGGAGCCCACATCAGCCCCTTTGACACTGTCTTGAGGTGCACCTGCATCTCTGTGCAGTCCACTGACAAAATTCAAGGACAAGGCTGGACACACAGAGGCATCTCAGAGGTCAAAGGGCGGGGTGTCCCTCGGTCTCCCAGTAGATTAAAAAGAAAATGAACAAATGCCTAAACAGGGCTCCAAAGGTACCATGCATTCCAAATGGTTACATGAAATAAATTTAACACTTGTAGCACTACAAAAATACAATGACTATATGTGTGCCAGCCCGAAGGGATCAACAGGATTCATTAAAAATATTAATTCTTAGTGTACTATAGGTTTTATGGCCTTGTCAAATGACACATTTTAAAGTTCTAAAACTCTTTATAAACTTTCCAATACTGCCAGTGAATGCGTGTGACTACTGATATAATCCATTTAAAGTCAACAGCTGCACACTAAACCTGAGGCCCCTCCAGACTTCCAGACCTGGGCTCTTGCTCTCTCCTGACACTTCCTCCCTCCCTCATGCCCACAGGACCTGAACACTGTAGATGTCCACTGCCCTGAACATTTCAGAAAGACAAAGCTCTCTTTCTTTACCTGGGTACCCACAGTGCCCAGTCAGGTTGTGTTTGTCTCTCAATGGAATGGACAGAAGAGTGAATGTGCAAAGTGAACCAGCACCTGTGCCTTCTCCACCCCAACCAGTGTATCTCAGGCTGGGCTGGGCCCTTGCACTCCTGCCCTGCTCAACCCGCTGAACCAGCAGGAGCCCCAAGGCCACAGTACAGGGCTGTGTCTTGCCTCAACAACTCCAGATATGTTCCTTGTATCTGAAAAATTATTTACTGTGGTGATGTACAATGCCTTTATAAGAGAACAGATGGCACCTCCAATTAGAATGCCTTAAAAGGAAACCCTAATGAGATTATAAAAGCCAACAAATTGACTTTTTCATACAGTACTTTCCTAGCACACAATAAATCAAATATCTAATGAGTTTCAATAAAATAATAGATTTATTTATAAGTGTTTTGCCTAGCATGGCATTGCACCTCAGCTCTGCCCTATGGGTCCCTTCAATGAGTGCTTGTCCCTGCATACCAAGGCAGAGAGCTGGACAGTGTATCTATGAACTTCTCTCAGGCCTGGCCACCACAGCCACATGTGGCTTTGATTCAGCGATTTCTAGTCTGACCCAAGCATGCTAAAGCCTGCTATATCTGGAGAGTAGAGGCATGCAAAGGGTGTGGTGACTGTAGTCACACATATAGGCATGTCTAATAATCACCTCCATTCTGGGTAAGATGGGGACACTGTGGTGGGACTATAGGGGGTATATGTAACCCCAGAGCTAACTGGACCAGAGACAGGAGGAAGATGCCTATATGGTATGATTTGTTATTAATTATTATTATTAAATTATTATCATTAGTTTAGAGATGGGAGTCTTGTTATGTCACCCACACTGGAATTGAACTCCTAAGCTAAAGTGATCATCCTTCTTCAGCCTCCCAAGTAGCAGGGACTACTGGTGCATGCCACCATGCCTGGTTCAGGTCTGATTTTAAGGAGGGTAGACTCAGGATATGAGTAGGTCCAGTGGAGTGAGGATCTAGAAAGTACATACTGGAGGCTTTGGGCAATTTCTGCTTCCCGCCCCCCACTCCCCGCCCAGGTATTAACCAGGCATTAGTCCTGCTGGTTCAAGTACATCAGATCAGATGGCTGGAAAATCGGCCTTGAGAGAGAGAAGAGAGAGATGCTATAGCAAGGAGGGCAGCAGCACATCAACATTCTGAGCGTTTAGTCATTGGTCTACCTTTCCTCTAGGTGACCGTACCCAGGGACTGGATGAATTTACAGGGTGTGTCTGCTGAAGTGGGAAGCTTGGACGCCGAGCCTTCTATTTGCATGGTTGATCTGTAGAAGGAGGCCGGCTAGTGAGAGGGGTTAATGAGAAAGAAATGGAAAGGAGTGTTTTCAGGAGGAATAGTGTGAGACCCTGGGCATATACTTTGGCAATCATGGAGACTAGTCTTTGGTCTGAACATCCAGGGAGCAGTGATTCCGCATCCTTAAGTGGTTTCTAAAGAAGTACATTAAACAATGCTTTTTGGGCTCATGGAAGACCCCCAGGGCAACCTCAGAAGTCAGTGGAGGAGACAGCACGACAGAAAAACAAGACCTCTGGTCAGCAGATACAATAATTTTTGTTAATACTAACTCACCAGAGAGAGAGGTCTGCAGAAAATCAGTTCAAATCTATACACATTGATTGAACTCAGGAACTTGATCTAGAAGATACTTTTATTCGCCCTCTTTACTCAGTAAAGGTTACATACACTACAAGGATAGAATTAAGAAGTTCTTCCACTCGGAGTCCAGTCACTTTTTCTGTTCATCAAACAGAAAGTATATATGAAACATTCTTCTGTGCTGGGGATGGATGGAAGGGATTTGGTCCAAGGAGGTGTAAGGAAAGGTCCCTGCTCATAGGGAGGCAGGCAGCATTATCCAATGCAGAAGAAAATTCTAACATATTAGAGGCTAACCTGGAGCACTGACTCCCAAATACAATGGGAATACTGAAAAGAGAGGTCATCCCGATTTCAGGGCTAAAATGCTCAGAGGAGTAGGAGCAAATTATCCAAAGTACTGTGCAGGGACAGTAGTGATTGTCTCCTCCCACAATTATGGGGGAGAATATTGGGAGAAGTGCACCCCTTCTCACATCCCTATCCAGAGAGTGTAGCGGCCTTTCTCCGTTTTTGGCAGGGAGACTGCTTTTCCCTCTGTATTATATAATGGGACAGTGATGTAGCCAATGCATTAGCTCCAGTCCATAGAATTTCTGCCTTTGAGATGCACTCTGTGGTCAGGCCACTGGTCTTGTCATTTGACAGGAGCACAAGCACTACATCAGGCTGGGCATTGGAAGGCACACAAGATGAATATATGGTCCTGACACACAATAGTCTTCATTTGGTAACTGAGATAAGTACAGAATAACTGAACAATTAATAAAATGATGAGCACTCTGAGGGGAGTCTGGTTACAAATATACAGGAAACCCAGCAAAGAGGTAGGAGATTCTCAGCTATAGGCACCAGGAGGGACTTCTTGGAGGAGGTGATAATAGATCATGATTTTGCATCCAAAGAACTCTCCAGTCTGGCATCTGATGAACAGAAATTATCTTTCTGGGGTGGGAGGAAGGCCCTGTTATATGGGAGGAAGGGGGAAGGAAAAAACCGTAATCTTCACCCAGTGATATGTAGGGACAAGGCCCCTGAACTCCCAGCAAAGGAGATGTATGTTTCAGCACCACGGCCAGCAATTCTGCTTTGCTCTAGGATCAAAAGATGATGTCTTCTCTTCCCTGCCCCAGACCCACCACTTGCACCATCAGGGAACCAAACTCTCCAGCCCAAAGCCATTACTAGATACTTACTAGTGCATGCCACTTCTGGAGGGTCAAAGTCCGCTCGGTAATAACCAGTCCGACAGGTGCAGATGGGAGACGCCTCTGCAGGGGAGCGGCTGTTGGAGGGGCAGTGGGAGCAGCCCTCAGCTTCCTGGCTGGCCTTGAATGTCCCTGCAGGGCAGGCTAGAACACAAAGAGACCATGTGATAATTAATGGAAGTGTGGCAGCCAGAAACTCTGCTCTACAACCGGAAAAGGAGTGTCTTCCTCTTTAAAGAGAACGGGAAACCCATATTTAACACTTCCAATTCTTCAGAAATCCCTTGTGAAATATACATTCCTTGTACCAATGACCTCTCTCACTTGAACAAAATGCATAATAATTCTTCCCTTCCAGGTGTGTCAAGAGATTTAATCGAGAAAACAAATCTAATGTGTAGCTCAGTTCCTGGGACATAAGTGCTCTATAAATGGTTACTTCCTCCTCTGTCTACCTGGTTAACATCCATGGCCTTTCTCTGAGCCACTCACTAAAGACATCTCATCTTATGGCCTCAGATAGAAAGGTGTCCGAGGTTTTTCAATGACATGTTGGACCTACGGTTTTTCAATGCCATGTTGTAGCACACATGAGGAACACTATGAGATGTATTAACAAGCTCTTGTTATGAATGATGGTAAAGGGCTGAAATTCATAAGTGATTCTTTAAAACTAGAGTGATTTCAAGGTTACTGCCTTAACAACATCACTCTCCTTTAATTGCATTTTGATATGCTTTCAGGGGCGGGGCAAGGAAAGGATGACTTTGCAGACAGCGCACCAGGGAACATGTCATGCACTTGGTGTCATCTATCATGCACATGGCAGTGGGGAAGGTTGGGAACACCTGCTACAACCTGATCTCCACTGGAGGCACGCTCACATGTACAGCACACCCTCTTAATTTCCTGTGGGATCAGCTTATAATGAGTCATTCCCTGAAAAGTCTGGCTCCAAGCTGTCCCTTGGGTCTTAACTTTGTCTCATCTGTAGAGACTTTTGAGCCCAGACATCTGGTCTCTTCCTTGCTGATCCCTCACAAGATTGATCCTGCCTACCCTAGTTCCCCAAGGCCCTCCCTTATTATCTCAGCCCCCACTCTTCCTGTCCGCATGAAACCTACTCTGGCTCATCCTCCTTTGAGACTGGGTAAAACTTACTGACTGGTCAACTTCTTTGGCTTTCTTACACACCTCACTACTTCATTCAACAAACATTTACTGTGTTCCTGCTGAAAACATGGCATAGGGAATTCAAGAACAGAGCCTGCCTTCAAGGAGCTCTTGATCCAATGAAGTCATATAAACCTAATACAATGTGATCGTTGTATAATGGAAGAGCCATTATAATGGTTTCTACTTATAGAAAGTTAATCTTCTCAAATGTATTGTTCCCTCCTGTAAAGTGCAGAATATTCTTTAATAACAGCAGTAGCCACCATCTGTTAACTTGTCTTGTTAAGTGCTTTACATGCATTACTCTACACGGTAGACATTATTATCCCCATTTTGCTAATGAGGAAACTGGGACACGGAGAGGTTACAAAACTTACCAAGGATCACACAGTGGGAGAAATGATACTGACGACGTACACATAAGCTCTTTGAAAAATATCCACTGCTTTTCTGCTAAGACTAGAAGAAAGAATTGTTTTCTATGCTGTGAAAGTTATCTCACTCCATTGCTCACTTAAGATGAGGAAAAGGTTTCAGTTTCTCCAATCGTGTGCTGGGTGGGGTCCCTTTTTGGACAGGAAGGAATCTCTGAAACACAGTGTTCTGGAATGGCACAACCCAAATGTGTTCCATGGGATCCACGTTCTTTGGATTGTTAACACCTACGACAAAAGGGTACTGTGGCCAGATATTTACAAATGCTAATTTTAAAAGTTCATCTTATTCTTTGTCGAGAATTTCTCAGAACTTTAAAAAATGCTATGTTTTTTCACCAAGAAGCCTTACTTTGCAGAGCATCCCTTGGGATAGGGGAAGACACTGGAGTGAATGTTGTTTCCCAGTTTTGGGGAAACAGTGCCAGTTGTGACCCACGTAAAGAGGGACCACTTCCTGACTCATCTCAGCATATTCAGAAGAAACTTCTCTGTAGAAAGAAAAAAGTACATCTGAGTCTTTACTACAGATCTAACAAATAAAACATGAAAGGGAGAAGCTCTGAATGGCAAAAGTATGCGAGACTTTGGCTTACTAATCCATCTTTCCCAGCCCACTCAGTACGGTCCCTCCCTCTGTTTTTCTCCCTCTTTCCTTTTCTCCTTTCCATATCTCTCCTCATCTCCTGTGAGAAACGCTTGGCTCTTTTCCTAATAAATCCCCAGCCTTCCTGGCCCTGTTTGGTTCTGCAGCCAGTGAATACAAACGAATCCCAGGCCTGTGCTGCCTGGACTTGGCAGGAGCTCTATCTCTGGAGAGTGGGAAAGGCGCAGTGGTGACGACTCAAGCATTCATATTTGGCCCCTGCCATGCTGTAATTTTCTTAATGTACCAGTACAAGAAGAACAAGGTGTTTCTAGCACATAAACGCCTCCTCACTTTACATTTAATAAGTGAAGAGCATAAACAATTGTCCTGATATCCACAAGTGGCAGGGGGATGTGGAAAGTGCCTCTTCTGAGGTTTCTGATGGAGGACAGTAGGCTCTGGGTGACTGAGTCTCTGAATTCCAAGGTGTACACAAGAGGAGCAAGTGGAGGGGAGGAGGTCCAAGCTGGCCATTAGGGAGAGAAGCTTGGGGAGTGGTTGAGGAGAGAGTTTCCAGGATGGGGTCTGACTCCATTCTCCCCAGAGAAACAAGCATTTGGCAGTGGTCAGACAGTCCTGAGGTCAATTCTTGGCTCTGCCAGCTCCTAGCTTGGTGACCACTGGCAAGTTATATCATCCCTCAGAGCCTCAATTTGCTCATCTGTATAAAAGGTCTATGAAAAAGAACTGTAACTTCCTCACAATAACTCCCACAAATCATAATACATTAATAATAAACTCAAATATGAAATGTCGCTAGCATCAATGTGTGCTGAATAACGCTAACTCCTCTCCATCCCAACTTACCCACTCCCAAAAAAAAACCCAAAACAAACGAACAACCAAACAAACAAAACAAGGCTTCTTTGCAGGGACGTTTAGAATTCAGGGTCAGAATACAAATTTCAAGTCCCAAAGTGGGAAAATAAATCCTGGAACCCAATGGAAGAATGTGTTTCTACATATATGATTTCTGTTATGTATAATGGGTGAATCATATCTATAAAATATATTTTACATATAATTACAAAATGTATGAATCTCCTTAATACTCAAACTTTATAACTTAGTACTTTCATACAATCTATCTAGGCATGCCTTAATTTATAAAAGAAGCAGTATTCCTAAATTCATTTATTAAAGTTTTTTTTTTTAACTTTAAGTTGTGGGATACATGAGCAGAATGTGCAGGTTTATTACATAGCGATACATGTGCCACTGTGGCTTGCTGCACCTGTCAACCCATCATCTAGGTTTTAAGCCCCACACGCATTAGCTATTTGTCCTAATGCTCTCCTTCCCCTTGCCCCCCAACAGGCCCCAATGTGTGATCTTCCCCTCCCTGTGTCTATGGGTTCTCATTGTTCAACTCCTACTTATGAGTGAGAACATGTGGTGTTTGGTTTTCTGTTCCTGTGTTACTTTGCTGAGAATGATGGTTTCCAGCTTCATCCATGTCCCTGTAAAGGGCATGAACTCATTCTTTTTTATGGCTGCATAGTATTCCATGGTGTATGTATGTCACTTTTTCTTTATCCAGTCTATCATTGATGGGCATTTGGGTTGGTTCCAAGTCTTTGCTATTGTAAACAGTGCTACAATAAATATACGTGTGCATGTATCTTTATCATAGAATGATTTATAATCTTTTGGGTATATGCCCAGTAATTTATTAAACTTTTAGATTGTTATGCAATACATTCTCATAGAATTCATACTTTAAACAAGGGTTAAAGTGGCAGGCTAATCCACAAAGCCTTTTTAACTTACCTTGTATCAGGTGCCATTAATCAGAAACAAAAGTTAACAATATTGTTGTTTCACTAGAAATTTAACATAGAAATATAAATAAGAAAACGATGCTGTCCCTTGAGAAAAAGCAGCTTTAACTTGGGGTGATAAATAGAGCTTCTGGGTGGATTCTGATGGAGAATATTCAGATCAAGAGAAGCAAAAGCAAATGGCCTTTGGAGCCAGGTCAGTCACTTAAGAATATAAAGCAGCCGGGAGTCACACAGTGCAGAGTGGCGGAGACTCCGGCAGCCCGGAGACTGCTCACCTGCATAAAGACTCTACGATTTCAAACAATAATAATTAAATACGGCAGTAGACTAACCAAACACATCTCAGCACTTTCAGTCAATCTGAGGTAAATAACAGAGTTCTCTGCTTTCATATCATTTCAAAACTCTGGAGTTCCTTTACAGAATTATGGTCAGCACTATTGCTACAGTTGGGAGCCCCTCGTTCAACAAAAATTTATTGACTCCTACCCAGACACCAGACTATAGGAATAGAACAGGGCACAGATGGGGTAGCCGACATTAGGAAGCTCCCTTCCTGGAGAGGGAGGTGGATGATGGAATGCTGCTTCTGATACAGCAGGATCTGTGCTATGCTTGTGTGCACACAGGGGACCAGGTGGCTGGATGTACACCTTTTGCAGAGTCTCCTTATAAGATGAGAGTCATAAGAAACTTTATAAGAGAAGCAGTATTCCTGAGTTCATTTATTAACCTTTTAGATTGTAACTTGTAACCACACTTGTGCTATACTTTCTCATAGAATTCGTGCTTTAAACAATGGTTAAAAGTGTCACTTCAGGCCAGGTGTGATGGCTCACGCTTGTAATCCCAATACTTTGGGAGGCCGAGGCGGGTGGATCACCTGGGATCAGAAGTTTGAGACCAGCCTGACCAACATGGCAAAACACTGTCTCTACTAAAAATACAAAAATGGGAGGCCGAGGCGGGTGGATCACCTGGGATCAGAAGTTTGAGACCAGCCTGACCAACATGGCAAAACACTGTCTCTACTAAAAATACAAAAAAAAAAAAATTAGCTGGGCATTGTGGCATGTGCCTGTAATCCCAGCTACTCAGGATGCTGAGGCAGGAGAATCGCTGAACCCAGGAGGCGGAGGTTGCAGTGAGCCGAGATTGCGCCACCCACCTGAGCCTGGTGACAGAGTGAGACTCTGTCTCATTAAAAAAAAAAAAAAAAAAAAAAAAAAAAAAAAAAAAAGTGCCATTTCTTGGTAGTTGGCAATGGTGATTAAAAAGTTTATTGTGATGGTTAGGAGATGAAATTCAGAAGGAGAGGAAAAGACAAAGGGAGAAGAAAAGAGGTGGAAGAACAGGAGAAGTGGGAAGGGAAATTAGGTCAGAAAGTGGTCAGCTTCGAACTTCATGGGGGAGAGTTCCATTACGTTTCCAGGAGGTGGGTAGAAAGAGAAGAGCCACCTGCACCTTGCTGTGTATTCGTATTAATACAATAGGACAACATAACTTGGAGGACTGGACATTTCTAACACCAGTGCAGCCTACAACTGCCTTGTTTCCTTAAGAGAAGGGGGTTTGCCTTCCTCCATTGTAAGTGATCTCAGTTCAGACAGAAGGCCTAGAAACTTGCATAGCCAAGGCTTTTGGGTGGCACTCCTCCCCCTGACCTCACCACACATCTCTTTCCCCACCCCCAACTTCAGAAAAGGGGAGGAGACAAGATCTGAGCACCCCATGCCTAAACATGTGTATATTTTCCATTCAACAGACAAAACACATTTGCCTCCCTGTTCAAGTGCCAAGGGTTGGGTGCACGTCACCTCTGGCTGGTATCCAGAAGGTCACCTTGAAACGTCCACCGAACTTCTCAGCACCTCAGCGATGTAACAAATGACCTTCTGCTTACAATACTCTTGAGACACCCCTCTCCACCTGTCCATGCACGCAGACTTCCAGAGGCACTGAGTCCATCACCTACAGTACTGTTACTTTATAAAGAAACAGATTGTCTCATAAACAGTACAGTGATTGAGATAATGGAAAGCGCTTCTCGTACCCATCTGCAGCATCAGGTTATGAAGCATTTCCAAGCAGCCAGGAAGAGGAAATTAATAGAAGCAAGAGGGAATAACCACTTTTATGCAATTTCCTCAGGAGATAGTGGACCATCTAATCTTTATTGGAGCCCTTTAACCTGTCACTCAGCACTCACCAGAGCCTCTTTAGCTCTCACAATTTTTCTTGATATCAAAGGAAGATAAAATGAAGACCTCAAAATATTGTTTTATAATTTTCAGATGTGGAGCGTGCGTGTTACCTCTGCCCCTCCCCCTCTCAAATGAGGCCTCAAAAATGACATTTTTATGCAGCATAAATGTGGGAGAGCTTAACTATTCTCGGTGCATGGTCGAGGGGGTCAGAGCTACACTGCAGGGAGGAAATCTCTCCTTGCATTTTAAATGTGATTCTTCCCTCCACCGCCACCTTCTGTCCTTGCTCTTTCTTTTTAATAATCTGATTACTTCTTCTGATCTATTTTTTTTCCCCAAATGAGTTTGCAAAGGTTCATGCCAATGAATATTCATCCCCTGCTTAAGAACCGGGTGCCTTTTTCTCAAGGCAGGTGCAGCTCAGCAGCTGGCTCAGAGAAGTCAGTCTGCCTCATGGGGCAACTGGGAGAGAGGCAAGGCACATGCTTCTGGCCGGGAAGAAGGAGGTTCACAGTCCACAGTTCATTGCTCCTACAACCTCCCCTTCCTTTGTCTTATGCTTTGCTCTCATTCTGTAAGAGAGGCAGAAGAGCCTCTCTCAGCAGCTGCTAAGAATTGTGCAATAGGTGTGGTGTTGGTGGGCAAGAAATTCCTGTGGGTCATGCAAACAGTTCTACACAGCTCCTTCCATAGGTCTTGTGGCCCCACATTGGGCCACTATTTAAAGTCACTTCTGTGGCCAAATGTCTCCATCACCTTCACATTACTGGTGGCTGACCAAATAGGTTCCCAGCTCTGAAATTTCAGGCCTGGTGAAACTCCCCAGAAGGAGGTGGCATGAGGTCTCTGCACTGGGATTCCTCTGTCTATTCTCAAAAGCAATCTTTGCTTTCCCAGAATGGGTTTTCCTGAATAGCCCCAGGACATTCCACTGGGACTCAAAGCCTTATGGAAACTCCCAATTCCCCTTATATTTATGGCAATGTGTTGAGAAAACCGACGGCAAATAAATATTTCCCAAGCACCCATCCATTCATCCATTCATCCATCCATCCATCCATCCATCCATCCATCCATCCATCCATCCATCGAATGTACTAGTTTGAAAGTTCTCTGAAGGCTGACACTAGGTGTTTTCATCATCTTTGTATTTCCCTTTCCCCAGCACTTAGCACAAACTTTACACATAGGCACACACATTCTATGGCTAGTCGAATGAGTGTTTGCTGAAGGACTGCTGTGATAAGACCCAAAAGATAAAAGCTGTGATGATAATAATAATAACAACAAATATGGTATTAATATTAGAGAATGTAAGATAATGAGCAGTCCCACACAAAGTGTGGATTCTTTTTTTTGAGACAGGGTCTCACTCTGTTGCCCAGACTGGAGTGCAGTGGCGCGATCTCGGCTCACCGCAACCTCCGCCTCCCAGGGTCAAGCGATTCTCCTGCCTCAGCCTCCTGAGTAACTGGGATTACAGGCAGGCACCACTACCACCTAAGTTTTGTGTTTTTAGTACAGATGTGATTTACCGAGTTGGCTAGGCTGGTCCTGAGCACCTGACCTCAAATGATCCATCTGCCTCGGCTTCCCAAAGTGCTGGAATTACTGGAGTAAGTCAATGTGCCCAGCCAAAGTGTGGATTCTTATCGTTTCCTGGAAGAGTTATTTGATGTGTATTAAGAGCTTCAAAATGTTGAAAGCTTTGATTCAACAAACTTATTTCTAAAAACTTATTCTAGAAAAAAAAGCAAGCAGGTGTAGGAAAAGATCTATGTTCGTTGATATTCATCACAGTGTTATTTATAATAGGGAAGAAAGAAAAAAAAGAAGAGGGAGGGAGGAACTTAAAAGTCTGATAATATGGTATTGGCTAAATAAATTATGCAACATTCATATCATTCATATAATGGAATATTGCACAGCCAAGGAGCTGAGCTGAGCACAGCAGGTCAGGGTGAAGTGTTTACCAATCAAATTTCTACGGCAGAGGTGGAGAGGCTATGTGCCAGAGGTCTTTAGAGGAAGGGGAGAGTGGGTTGCCATTGGAAGGCTGTCTAGAGGAGGTGGTTCATGCATAGGGCCTCAAAGTATGGGTAAAAGTTGGCACCGAGGGAGGATGGGAGTATGAGGCAAAGGGAAAAGACTGCACCAAGACTCAGAGAGAGCAGGATCCCTAGCTTACCTGGGGAAACTTTGAGAGTAGTTGTAGAAGGTGCCAAAAATACAAAGCATTTATGGGGGCCATGGTGGGAGGAGGGCTGGAGCGCATTTACTTCTACATCAACCTGGGCACTTGGAGCCAAATGAGTCTCCAGTTCTTGCCTCCCTGGGCCTGCTGCCAGCTGTAATGGCCTGTGCAGAGGGGACACTTAGCTGTGTCATATACTTGTATCACTCATGGTGACACTTGCTGAAATTGATGAATGCTGCAGGCACCATGACACAGAAGAGACTGTAACTTACTGTGCTATTAAGTTGTTCAGACAGCAGTAGAAGTAGCAAGCCTAGAATGCATCCGCATGGAAGTTGTTAAAGAGGTGGGCCAGGGTGGGGGTGCTTTGCCTTGATGAAATGGGGCGATCACTGGTCAGGACTGAAGGGTGACAAACAGAAGAGCAGTGTCTCAAGCGAGAGGGACAGATACTCAGGTCCTGATGGCAGCCTGTTCCCAGAGTGTAGCCAGGGCCTTCAGAGCCAGGGTCCTGTTCGGTTGTAGGAGGCTGTGCTGGGCATCAGTTTCTCTCAGAAGGGAGTCCAGGCCTGGATCCTACAATCCTGGTCCAAGGTCAGTGATTAGGGTGTGAGGATCGCCATAAAGCAAGCCCAAGTGTTTTGTAATGATCTAGGCCAGGTTCTCAAATTGGTCTCCAAATCAGCAGTGCTATGGACTAAAAGTTGCCCCTCAAAAAAAAAAAAAAAAAAAAACATATGTTGAAGCCTAATTCTGAATGCAATTTTTTTTCTTTTCTTTTTTTTTTTTTTTATAGACAGAGTCTCGCTCTGTCATCCAGGCTGGAGTGCAGTGGCGTGACCTCGGCTCACTGCAACCTCCACCTCCAGGGTTCAAGCGATTCTCCTGCCTCAGCCTCCAATGTAGCTAGGACTACAGGCATGTGCCACCACACCTGGCTAACTTTGTATTTTTAGTAGAGACAGGGTTTCACCATGTTAGCCAGGATGGTCTTGAACTCTGCCCCTCTCGGCCTCCCAAAGTGCTGGCACTACAGGCATGAGCCATCGTGCCCAGCCCCGAATATGATACTATTTGAAGGTGAGGGCTCTGTGGAGTAATTAAATCACGAGGGTGGAGCCCTCATAAATGGGATTAATAGCCTAATAAGAAGAAATACGAGAGAGCTTTCTCTCTTTCTGCCATGTAAGGATATAATGAACAGATGGTCATCTGCAAACCAGGAAGTGGGCCCTCACCAGACCCTGGATCTTCTAGCACCTTGATCTTGGATTTCCTAGTATTCAGAACTGTGAGAAATAAATGTTTATTGTTTAAGCCACCAAGTATTTGTTATAGCAACTTGAACGAAGACAAGCAGCATCAGTGTCACCTGGGAACGGACAGAAATGCAGAATCTCAGACCCTCCTCCAGGCCTACTGAACCAGAAAATCGGGAGGCGTGACTCAGTAATCCAAATTTTATCAAGCCCACCAGGCGATTCTGATATGGCTCTAGTTTGAGGACCACTGCTCTAGGTCTTCTGGAAGAATGCACACATGGGGTCTGAAAAACTTCCATGTGCTGGCTGTGTGATCTTAAGCAAGTTATTTAAACTTTGACCCTCAGCCCACCCATTTGTAAAAAGGGGTGCTAAGGTGACTTCCCATAGCTATTGTGAAGATCAGTGTAATACATGTAAAACTCCTGGAATATAGTATCACCTCAACAAAAATCCTCAAGATGTTTTCCACAAGAAGCCAGGCTAAATGTTTTCATCAACAATTCATTTGAAAGTATTTATTAACCACCTATAACATACTTGGAGGTGTGCTAGGCAGTGTGATACATCAATGGAGGAAAAACACAAAGATATTTCCCATGTGGAATTGACATCGTGGTGGAGGAAGACAGACTTTAAGCTGGAAATTCCAATGGATGGGATTAATGTGGCATGGAAGGGCCACAGTAGTGACCTAACCCTGTCTGGGAGGGTCTTGAGAAAGCGACATCTAAGTTAAGGCATAAAGAAGATATAAGCCTCCTATGACAGGCAGAGGTAAGGTGGGTTAGCGAGAGGAGATAGAGAAGCTTCCAGGTGGAGAGAGCAGCCTGTGAAAAGGCCCTGGAGAATGAAAATGACTCCGTCAAGGACCTGAGTACAGTGCCTTCAGGGGCCCTGAGTGTTCAGGCTCGGCAGAGAGCCTGCGTGGGGTGGGTGGGATCCGTAGGCAAGTGAGGAGGCTGAGCGCTTAGAGGGGCAGCCTGAGCTCATGTCACCCACTCAGCCCATGACTTTATCCTGAGGTCCATGGAACCACTTGATGGGCTTAAAATTGGAAAGAAACAGAATCAGATTTTATTTCTAAAGGATCACACTGACTGCTGGAAAATGAATCGACTGGAGGAGTGGGGACACTTACAGGGAGATTCAGTAGCCCATAAAAAGTGATAATGGACTAGGGTAGTGGGAACAGAGAGAAGTAGATGGATTCAAGAGCTATCCAGAAGAGAAGGGTCTGGCAATTGATTGGGGATTGCTCATTCATTCAACAGATAGGCACTGAACCCCTACTAGATGCCAGGCACTGGGTTGGGTGTGAGGAGTCAAAGACTGCAACCTGTTGTCTGCTTGTGTCTCTGCTATCCTGCTGACCCCCAAAAACCTGCCCTCTACATTTCATCCTCTAGGGCTAGACATTGTCCTCTTCCTGGAGTCCTCTTTTAGAAATCCAATACTTTGGCAGTGGGCTCACTGTCCCTATAACTTTGGGGGGAATATTGGGGAGCGGCAGTATGAAAGGTCCAGAGCAGAGAAGGTGAGAGTCTCACTCAGAGACTAGGACTGATTTGGCTCTTCCTGCAGCTGCTGCATCTGTGCCCCAAGTCTGTCCCTTGACCACTGGCCTGCAGACAAAGTCAGAGAAACCATGTGTGTGTCTATGTGAGAGAGAAACCAATCTTCAGACTCAGGAATCTGCAGAGTGGCCAGAAGAGCCTTCTGGACTTTGGAATGGTACAGGGAACAGACCTCTGACCAGAGATTCCTGCCCCTGAAGCTGCAGCATTACCTGCATCTCCTCCATCGCAGGCCAACTGGACAGCCAGTAGCTGCTGAGCGCCCCATGGGCTGGTTCCTTAGCTTTAGGCCAACAGAGGGGACAGGAAGGGGTATGATGCTGCAGCACCAAGGAAGACAGAGACAGCAGGGAAGAGGGAAAGCAGGGGGGAGAAGGTTTAGCTGGGAACAACTGCATTTCCTTACACAGAGGGAAACTGAGGCCAGAGAAGGCACTTGCCTTTCTCAGGTCACCCAAGAAGCAGGGACTCAGCTGAACTTATTCCTTGGCCCTGCCTGCCTCAGAATAGAAGGAAAAGGGAAGGACACAGAAGGAGTTGTGGAGGAGGCAGCTGACAGGCCCCTCCTGTCCACAGCCCAGCCCCAGAAGAAACAGCACAAATATCTTGGTCTGCCCCCACAGACACCCGACATTCTAAAGCCTACACCCTGGACATGGGGGAACCCTGGGGAAGGAGGCAATAATGCAGCTAACTGGGAAGTAAGGGACCACTGGGCAGAGACTCGAAGGGGCAGGGCCTGGTCCTTCACTCTCCCAGGCTCTTACAACCTTGAAATGATCAGCATGGAGGGGAGTGGGACAGAGCAGGGTCACAACAGCCAGACACCAGCGAGGCTGATGCTGCTGTGTGCTGGCCTGCCCTCTTTCCCAGGGCTTGGTGGAGAAGTGGGACCCAGAGAGGCAAATGGCCTAATGGTGTTCAAGCTCCTCTCTCTATGGAATTTATATTAATGAAATAATCACACGTAGCTCAAAGATTTAACTATGAGGGTATTCATGACAATATTGTTTATAGCACAAAAAAACTAATAACAGCTTAAAAGCCCTAAAATAAGGTGTCAGATCAATAAATTATAGTGCATCCATAAATGGAAAATCATACCCAATCAAGGAAGATGGTGAAAACCTGTGGTTAGTGACATCTAAAAACATTGGCAAATAGTGGGAACAAATATTGTTCTCAAATATGTCACTCTTTTATAAAGATGAGATTATACACATTTAAAACATCTTTTATGATCTATATTTTCCAATTTTTATGCAGTGAACTTATATTAGTTGTTTGAATTGCAAAAGATTTCTTTCTTTGAGACAGGGTCTCACTCTGCTACCCAGGTTGGAGTGTAGTGGTGTGATCTTAGCTTGCTGCAACCTCTGCCTTGAGAGTTCAAGAGATTCTCCCACCACAGCCTCCTGAATACCTGGGACTACAGGCACGTGCCACCATGCCTGGCTAATTATTTTTGTATTTTTTAGCAGAGACAGGGTTTCATCATGTTGGCCACGTTGGTCTTGAACTCCTGACCTCAAGTGATCTGCCCATATTGGTCTCTGAAAGTGCTGGGATTACAGGCGTGGGCCACCATGCCTAGCTAAAAAAGATTTTTTCAAACAGTGGAAGATCAGAGGGCAGTGCTAGGCAGGAGTAGTGTGACTGGTGTGGGAAGAAGGCAAGAAGTGAGGCCCCACTGGCAGCAGGACAAGGCAGAGAGGGCGGTGGAGTGTGGGGAGTGGCCTGGGAGTTGGCACAGAAGGCCCCCACTCAAGCCTAGCCTTTCTGTGAGCCATCATATCTCTGTGTCCCCAACTCCACCTCTTCACTCACGTTAGCATCCCCTAAAAATCTCTTTTGAAGGATGAGCTGTTTTCCTTTTATAGGCATTCTGTCGTTCACTCAACACACATCTGGGGAGCACTTTCTGTGTGCCCTGAGATAGATATCAGATACTCACTGCCTTTACATTGAGTAAGAAGAGGGCCATTGTCAAGGAGTGAGGAATTCCAGATATGCAGGAATCAGAAGGGTAAGGGGGTCTGGAGGAGCCCCCAATGCACAGGCAGCACGCAGCTAAATGGGGGTGGAATTCTTAAGATGTTGAACTCCAGGCTAGGCGTAGTGGCTCCCGCCTGTAATCCCAGCACTTTAGGAGGCTAAGGCGGGTGGATCACTTGAGCCCAGGAGTTCGAGATCAGCCTGGTCAACATGGCAAAAACCTCGTTTCCACTAAAAATAGAAAAAATTAGCCAGGAGTAGCAGCGCATGTCTGTAGTCCCAGCTACTCAGGAGGCTGAGGCAGGAGAATCGCTTGAACCCGGGAAGTGGAGGTTGCAGTGAGCCGAGATTGCACCACTGCACTCCAGCCAGGGTGACAGACAGTCTGTCTCAAGAAAGAAAGAGAGAGAGAGAGAGAGAGAGAGAGAGAGAGAGAGAGAGAGAGAGAGGGGAGGGGGGGGGGGGGGGGAGAGAGAGAGGAGAGGGAGGGAGGGAGAGAGGGAGGGAGGGAGGGAGGGAGGGAGAGAGGGAGGGAGGGAGGGAGGGAGGGAGGGAGGAAGGAAGGATGTTGGACTCCAGAGGCAGGACCGTGCCCTCCTTGAGAAGATCTGATGTCACAGCTAAGCAGGAGACAGGGAAACAGTGTCAGTTCTCAGAGGGCAGAGCAGGGAGGTAAATGAAGTGGTAAGCCCATGCTGGAGGGCAGGAGAGGAACCTGTGTTTAGAAGAGAGCAGAAGCACCTGCCAGCAGCCAGGATGGACTCTTTAAAGGGAGGTAGGTATCCCCTTGACACCTCACTCTCAACCACCAGGGAGATGCTTCAAGGGGCCCCTGGGACCCAACAGAAGGGAGGGTCCCAACACTTTGGTCACTCTGAGAGCCCCAAGTCATTTATCCTTCTTGGGTGCTAGGCCTAGGTCTCTGCTGCATCAGCGAGGACAGGGGAACCCCCAACTGTCCCCTCCTGAGGCCCAGTCTCCACCCTCATCAGTGCCCAGCTGCCAGTGTTCTAAAAACACCATCAATCTGGTAGCTCCAGGCAGGGGATGAGCAGGACATATGCTGGCAGTCAGGCTGCTTCCCATGTTTTCAAACTGAAGTGTTTTCCTTTTGAGAAAAACCTTATTTTTTAAGCACTTTCCCTGACACGGACCTTAATGGATTCCCTTAAAAAAAATTTATAACCAAGTTCTTAAGATAAATGAAGATGATTCCTCACTGTGTTTCTATCTAAAGGCTGGACAATGACAAGAAGCCACACAGAGTTTCTCACTTTTTCCAGAGCCCCAGAGGCACAGGCTTGCCACCAGGGCACACACAGGTCAGCCAGGTCTGCTGGGTGGTCGCACCCAGGACAGACACTGCTTTCACTTGCTCTCTCTGCTTTTCACAGAGCGAATGGGAAACACACACACACAAGCAACTGTGTTTAGATGTATCACACAAATCTCATTTACTCTCCAAACTCTGACCAGGCAAATACAACTCTTCTCTTAGGGAAGGTTGCTCTTGTTCCTTCCTTTCCCGGCTTCCTCACCCCAGAGTTTGGTGAGCCCACAAATCACAGACAGAAACAGGGCTGGAAAAGACCTTAGAAATACCTTTTAGAATAGGGGCTGCCGATACCCAGCACAGATACTGTCACCACCTCTCCATGCCTGCCGTCAGACAATGCTAATCAATCTCGGCACTCATTCCTACTCAACCCACAGCAGAGCGCTGACCCTTTAACACAATGTTCCAGGCAGAAACTACCTGTGACTGAATTGCCACATCACAGACTTATGATGGCAAAAATGAGGCCCAGAGAAGGCAATGACTTGGCCAGAGGTGCAGGAGAACCAGAACAAGTCATGGTGCCAGCATCTGCTCCACCTGCTCAGATGGCCCCATCATAAGCATGAGCCTGCTGCAGCTCTGTGGAGCTCACCCCTACCCCCACCCCAACTGCCTCAACTCTTTCTCCTTCTCAGCTTTGAAGCTGGTCCCACTGCACAGCCTCCTCTCCAACTGGGATGCAAGGGCATCTAATTATTCTCTCTGTGTGCATCAGGGAAGAGCTGCATTCTGTTTAAGCAAGTGTAGCTAAGAGGTGCTGCATCTCAAGAGAAGGTCAAGTGCTGCATATGTATAATATAAGATTAAGATTTTCCCCTTCTGTGGTGTACTTGATAAAATAATTTTGCTGTGACCTTTACAGAAACCCAGGAGTAGAAATCGAGAGAAGTGGAATTTCCAGCTTCTCCCCAGGTCACAAAGTCATAAACACGTAAATCTATAATGATATTACACGGCATTCAAGTGGGACAAGTAAGCAAAAGAAATAATTTTTACTTCTTTTAATGGCAGAGCAAAAGCTTTGAGGCTGAAATTCTCAGGCTCAATTATCAGAGCTGTCTTGACAGGTAAGCGGCAGAAACCCTTCCCCCTACACTGCCCTGTCCTTGCCTGTCTGCCCAAACAGTGTGGCACTGCAGACATGGGCATGGACCTCCCTAAGCAGATTATTAGAGGAAAGTGGCCTGTCCAAGGTCACGAAGGAATCAGTCAGGTCTAACTGGGTCTGCCACAATGTTGCTGGGGGGGTTGTTCAGCCAGATCTCAGCTCCTAAATTGCAGTGATAGTGGATGTAGCACTTTGCAAGTCTAGAGTCAATTCTTAAAAAGTGAAATAACCATGAGTAATAATCAATATTGAAATAAGCTTATAGTCATCCCAAAAGATTCTCCAAGTAAGAGTTACTATGACAAGGCAGAATATATGCATGAGATTTATCCAAAAGGCTGAAGGCAGAGAGATTTGACAGTATTCATTTTGTCTGACCTGCAACTTTTGCTTAGGACCTCATCAACTCTGAAGCAGCCTTTGAAAAGAGAAGTGGGGCTTGCAAGTTCTGGAATAGGGAGGACACCCTCCTTTTGAGTACCCAGGCAGAGCCAGCCGTAGGCGCTGGATGCCTGGAGATCATGTGAATGGACCAGTGGGTGTTGTGAATCAGATCAGCTGGGTGAGGCCTCCCACTGCGACAGAGACAGCAAACGGTTGGATAGTCACATTCTTTCCTGTGACCATTTATTCCTAGGTGCTGAGAAGTAATTTCCAGAGTGCCCTGTGTCCTCCTTATTTGCAGTTTCCTGGATGAACATTAGTATCACCAATTGCCTTCAGGTTTGTCAGTGAAACACAATTAGAGCAGAAGCTTGTAGCAGAGATTAGAGGTGTTAAGGATACACTTAGCACTTAGATTTCAATGCACACTTAGGGAAGCCATTCAACTGGGCTCAGC